AGGGGCAGGTCTCGGCCCATCCTCTGCAACCCCACCCAGTCCTTCCTGCCACGGCCCCCAGTCCCGTCTGCTGGCAGCCCTGCTCCTGCGGCTGCCTCTCCCATGCACTGATGGTGCCGGCCCCGCTCACACCCACTGACAGCGCAGAGCGATTGGGGCTGGCACCAGCAGCGGTTGTGAGCGGGGCCGGTGCCGTCAGTGGGCGCAAGCAGCGGCTGCTGCCCCGATCGCCCCTCAGGAGCAGGGGGAGGCGGGAAAGCCCTCAGGAATGATCGGGGCCAGCAGCTGCCGCTCACACCTGCTGACGGCACCAAGCGATCGGGACCAACACCGGGTGCCAGCAGTGGGTGTGAGCGGTGGCTCCGGTGCTGGCAGCAGATGCGAGCACCGGGTGAGACCGTGGTGCGCAGGAGCAAAGAATTTTCAGTAACCACCAGAGGCTCGCCTCAATGACAGTGACCGGTGCCCTGCTTTGGTCTGGCGCCCCTGCTCACATGTTCCACCATCCCGCCGTGGCCAATGCCCGCCATGTTCCACACACGCCCCCTGGTGGTCAGTGCACGTCATAGCAACGGGTTTTTCGGTTGTTCCGCCGTTCGGTCTATTTGCATATTAGCCTTTTATTATATAGGATATTTTGTGTTAATCCTCACTGGAGGATATTTTTCCATTGATTTTAGAGAGAGTGGAGGGGAGAGGAGAGACATGGAGAAAGAAACATTGATGTGAGAGAGACACATCGATCAGTTGCCTCCTGCAGGGCCAGGGATTGAGCCTGCGACCCAGGTACATGCCCTTGGCCAGAAGCAAACCCAGGACCCTTCAGTCCACAGGCCGACGCTCTATCCATTGAGCCAAACCAGCTAGCGAGCATGCTTACGTCCCAAGGGGGAGGACAGAGGATGTGCCGAAAAGCGCGAGCTCGCAGAAGACACCGCACGTGTCTGTCCACACCACGTCTGGGCACGCATCACCAAGCTGGGAGAGAAAACCCCCAGTGTCGGTCGCGGTTATATTTTGATGACGGGATTAGGGAGGTTTTTAGAATTTTTGTCTCGATTTGAAAAATCTGGGCTTTCTACTTTTTCCGCTACGATAAGCTCCTATGACATTAACATAAGAGACCAGAGCGGGAGAGATAATTAAATCACCGAGGAGACCAGAAGTGTGGGTTTCTCATCTCTTTTAAAGCTGGTTTTCTATGAAAAGGTTCGCTCGTGGCAAAAACATTAAAACCGTGGAGAAAGGTTCAAAAGTGGAAACTAAGAGCTCCCGGCCGACACCCCGCCTTTCGCGCTCCGTCCCCACCGCCCAGTGGCGTTGCTGGTTCATTTCCCCAGAAAATGTCTTACATACAAAACACCTTTTCTCCTACGCAAGTGGGATCTGATGTATGTTCTGGAACCTACGTTTTTGGTTACACTATTTCTTAGACATGGTGACCTATGAGCACATGTAGCTCTCCCTTGTTGAACAAAAAGGTGTTGCCCTGCCCGGCGTGGCTCAGCTGTGAGCGTCGTCCCAGCACCAGGAGGTCACTGGTTCGATTCCCGGTCAAGGGCACATGCCCGGGTTGCGGGCTCGATCCCCAGTAGGGGGCATGCAGGAGGCAGCCGATTGATGTTTTTTGTCATTGATGTTTTTTCTCTCTCTCTCCCTTTCTCTCTAAAACAGGGGTCCTCAAACTTTTTAAACAGGGGGCCAGTTCACTGTCCCTCAGACCGTTGGAGGGTCGGACTATAGTTTAACAAAAAAACTATGAACAAATTCCTATGCACACTGCACATATCTTATTTTGAAGTAAAAAAACAAAACGGGAACAAATACAATATTTGTATTTGCATGTGGCCCGCGGGCCGTAGTTTGAGGACCCCTGCTCTAAAATAAATAAAACATATTATAAATAAATAGAAATGTAACAAAAGGTTGTTGACGATGCCATCATGTGGGTGCCCCATAATTTATTTCCTAGGGGAACCCCCACGTGCGTTTCCTGCTGCTCTAACAATATTGCGCTGAGTATATCGTACGTACATGTTGGCTTACTTTGAGGGTAAATCAGCGGGATAGGTTCCTGGAAGTGGAATTGTTTGATCAAAGGCACGTGGGTTCAAAAATTAATACATGTCACCCTGGCCAGTTTGGTTCAGTGGATAGAGCATCGGCCTGTGGACTGAAGGGTCCCAGGTTCGATTCCGGTCAAGGGCACAGGCCCGGGTTGCGGGCTCGATCCCCAGTAGCGGGCGTGCAGGAGGCAGCCGATCAATGGTTCTCTCTCATCATTGATGTTTCTATCTCTCCCTCCCTCTCCCTTCCTCTCTGAAATCAATAAAAATACATTTAAAAAAATTAATGCATATCATCGGATAGCCCTTCCCAAAGGTTTACCAACTCAGCCCATCTACTGCCCATCGAGGGTGTCTGCTCACCCATTCCTGTTGGCACCAGCACTTCAAGTGTTTAGTGGCCTCCTATTAGTTGAATTTTAAAGTGATGAGTGGGTGGAGCATTCATCCCCCCCTCCCCTGCCCCGTGTTTAATGGCCTTTTCTATTTCTCCGTGAACGTGTGTCTCTATTGGTTGTGTCCTTTACTGATTAATTTGCCGCCACTTTTTATTTATGAAGGACCAGTCTTCAGTCATACACGCTACAGACCTCTTTCTCACGGTGTACTTTTCCTTGTAACGGTTATAGTATTTATTTTTCTATAGAGAAGTTGTTCATCTTTTAGTCAAAAGTCTTTTCCTTTTTTTTTTTTTCTGGCTTCTATGTTTTATGTGATATTTAATCCTTCTCCACTCCAGGAATTAAAATATAATTCGTGTCATTTTCTAGTGAAAGTGACTTTTGGCCTCCCTAGCTTCATGCTCTCCAGGGGAGCGGGGGCGTTAGGGAGGGGCAGGGAGGCAATGTGCCCTCACCTGGGGGTGCTCTCACCTGGGGGTGTTCTCACCTGGGGGTGCTCTCACCTGGGGGTGCCCTCACCGGGGGGCGCTCTCCCTGGGGGTGCCCTCACCTGGGGGTGCTCTCCCTGGGGGTGTTCTCACCTGGGGGTGCTCTCCCTGGGGGTGCCCTCACCTGGGCTCCTACCTACCAGGCCCTGGGCGTCCAGGACTCACAGCCGCACTCTCCAGCCTCCAAAAGGGCAGAGCATTCAGGCTGCCACGTGGCCGTCCAGAAATGGCCCCGTCCAGGCCTGTGCGCAGGCTGCCTCGGGGATGCCAGGAAGCCCTCCAGGGAGCCCCCAACCCTGGACCCGGGCCCCCGGGCTCTGGGCCTGTCGCATCCCCGCCTCTCACCTCAGACCTGAATACAAAGGCAGAGGACTGTACCATCGGGAAAAACCTAGCGGCCATCGATGTCAGTCCGTTTTCTGGCTGAGGAAGTCGGGACGCGCGGACGGTAGAGGGCAGGTCGGGAGGCCTGGACACCAGGGCCCTGTCCCCAGTGCTGGCCCCTCGCAGCTCACGTCCTCTCTGAGCCGGCTTCCCAGGAGGCTCCGGAGGATGGTCTGGACCTGCTGCTCTTTGTCACCCGACTGATTAGACTGAGCTGAGCACACAGTGGGTGCTTTATGAACCCCTGTGGATTGTCATTGGCATTGCAGGCTGGGCACTGCGTCCACACTTCACTGTGCCCGGAAGATCCGAGTGGATGTGGGTTTGAGTCTGTCTTGGGGAGCAGCTGGGACTGGCCTTCAGGTCCCCTGGAATGGAAGCCGGGGTACGGGGTGGGGGGTGGGGGTTCGCTCTGTGACTGGCTCGTGAGGACCTGCAGGGAGGGGAGGGGGCGTTCGCAGCTGCTGGAAAAGGCTCCCATGCCAGGCGGGCAGGGCTGACCCACGTCAAGTGCAGCACCCGGGAAGTCACCCAGGGGCTCCAGGCTGTGCTGGACCCGGGGCTGCGGGCTCCTCCCGGCCCCCGACGGGACGCCCGAGCCCAGCTTGTGTGCGGATCCCCCAGTGTCACCCCGCGTGGCAGAGAGCCATGCGTGACGAGCCCGGGCCTCCATGCTTCACATATTAAATCTGTTCAGAATATTAAATAATTCCCCTTCAGTGATCCCAGTAAATTTAATTAGCGCTGGGCCTCCCGATGGACTCATCTGCCGGTTCTGAGATGTGTTCGAGGAAGGAGGTGCGGGCTCCTGCGGGGCGCGGGCGGGGCTGGGGGATCCCTGCTCCCACTCAGAGCTCCGCCTCCCACCCCCGCTTACACTGGGGTCCCGGAGGGATCGGGGTCCCTCTGGCCCTTGTGGCTGGGAGGTTACCAAGGCCGTGCCCTCGGGGCTCGCTGGCCCTGACCCTGAGCCGGCCCTGCTGGTCTGCGCGAGCAACGATGCTGACCTCCTGGCCTTGTTCTTTTTAAAATTATTTTTATGGATTTCAGAGAAGAGGGGGAAGGGGGAGAGAGAGAGAAACATTAGTGGAGAGAGAATCGTGGATCGCCTGCCTCCTGCACGCCCCCCACTGGGGAATAAGCCGGCATCCAGGCATGTGCCCTTGACTGAAATCAAACCCGGGACCCTTCAGTCCGCAGGCCGACGCTCTACCCACTAAGCCACACCTGCTAGGGCTGTTTTTCCTGATTTCAAATACAGTCCAGGTCCATACAGAAAACTGAGAATAAACAATAAACCCAAAAGGGAAAAATTAAAAATGACCCCTGTCCACGGCGCAGAGGAAATCGCTGTGGCCCCGGAGGGCGGGGCCCTGCAGCCGCATCAGGCCCGGGAGCG